CAGGATACACACACAGCAGTCGTGTGCCATTAATCGAACTATGTACTAAACATAAACGGGAACATGAAAGGAATATTCTAAAAGCAACTCATGTAAACACCATAATCATAATATTGGCTTATTTAGAATAAGGTAAATAATTAGATTACTGATGTCCATGTAAACGTAGTCAATGATGAGCGCTGCATTTTACCCACAATTGAACATTCTTCAACTCTCGGAGCCGAGAAAAAACGCCTGAGCGCTCAGAGTGAAAAAGATGCCCAGTGGTCGGCATGCTCCTGGGGCCTCATGTATAAACGTTGCGTACGCACAAAACAGGCATAGAAATGTGCGTAAGCAATTTTCCACATACATATTGGGATGTATAAAAAATAAACTTGGCGTAAATATGTGCGCACCGTACGGGCACTCTAGACCATGCGTACGCACTCTTTTACTGGTGTAATAGCGAAGACGGCAAATAAAAGAGCTTCAACACCTGGCGACGTCTGTATGCACGTACAAATAATTAACTGCACTTGGAACCTTTCATAAAATTAAAAATGAAACACCCAAAACTGTACATGGCATCATCACGAAGACGAACTATATGTTCATACGTGAAATTCCGGAGGGGACGTCGGATGGCGTCACGTGGGGACATAGTGACGTGTGCCATTAATCGAACTATGTACTAAACATAAACGGGAACATGAAAGGAATATTCTAAAAGCAACTCATGTAAACACCATAATCATAATATTGGCTTATTTAGAATAAGGTAAATAATTAGATTACTGATGTCCATGTAAACGTAGTCAATGATGAGCGCTGCATTTTACCCACAATTGAACATTCTTCAACTCTCGGAGCCGAGAAAAAACGCCTGAGCGCTCAGAGTGAAAAAGATGCCCAGTGGTCGGCATGCTCCTGGGGCCTCATGTATAAACGTTGCGTACGCACAAAACAGGCATAGAAATGTGCGTAAGCAATTTTCCACATACATATTGGGATGTATAAAAAATAAACTTGGCGTAAATATGTGCGCACCGTACGGGCACTCTAGACCATGCGTACGCACTCTTTTACTGGTGTAATAGCGAAGCCTAATGATTTCAGACTCTCTTTTCCTTTCAATACACACATTTAGATTAAATATTCTGCTCATTAATGGAGTTAAGCATTGACATTACATAAAGTCTTTATTCAAAAGTTAAACAAAAGATATTTTGACATATTTGTATTGGATGCGCTGTTTTTTGATCACTTTTCTTGTTGCATGTTGTTTTAATGACAGCGAGGAGTGCTAGGCACACAGTAATGTTTCTTTAAACTGCAGATCTCATGTTAAGATAATTTTTTTTTAACAAGAACATCAACGATGCGCACTTACTTCGATATTGTGGCAGGCACTGCTGGATTCGGTGGTCGAACGGTCCACTGGCAAGTTTAAATAGGTCCGAATATTTGCGTACGCACAAAACAGGCATAGAAATGTGCGTAAGCAATTTTCCACATACATATTGGGATGTATAAAAAATAAACTTGGCGTAAATATGTGCGCACCGTACGGGCACTCTAGACCATGCGTACGCACTCTTTTACTGGTGTAATAGCGAAGCGCTGGAAAGCCGATCCGATATTTACATGGGTTCTACTTCTTGCCTTAAGCCTTCTTTTGTTCCGCAGACATTTTTGTTTCTTTATCCGCCATCTCTATCTTTATGTCGCTCAGCTCGGCTAATGTCCGTCCTGTGCACTGAACGCTCTGTCCTCCACATCATGAGTAGACACGCCCCTTACTGCTGATTAGCTACAAGTTTGTTTTGCTACTTGGCCCAAATCAGTTTTCTAAAGCGCTTTTGAAAAATCGCTTACCCCACCTTTAAGAGAAAATATTTTTAGCAAGAACATCAACGATGCGCACTTACTTCGATATTGTGGCAGACACTGCTGGATTCGGTGGTCGAACGGTCCATTGGCAAGTTTAAAAAGGCCCGATTATATTAGCCTACTGCACAACCAAGTCTGCACGGAGCTGTTTATTTCGTGTGAAGGCAGACTTCTTCTGCGATCTTCAGAAAATTATTAAAATAGCATTGTGATTGAAGAATAGAATCTGAAGCAAACGGTAAGATTTGCATGTTTCTTTTTTATAATATTTTGTCAGTGACGCCGCGTCAGACAATTATGTACACTTATTTACACACACACCGTATTTCTGATTCAACTATAGCCTATTTAAATATCCAAAAACATTTAATTTAAAACAATTATATACTGCTTTGGCCAGTGGAAAAGAGATCCACTCTATTCTAAAAAGATTCTCTGAGAAGTATTTTATACAATTTTGTTTTTACATTCATTTTGATATATTTATTCGAAAACAAGACAAGGACAGTGAATGATTTTTAGCTATGTAATGTACCGTACAAATAGCATTTTTAGTCTGCATGTCATATTTTCCTAACGTCTTGTACCTTTGACTGTGTTAAACATGGTCAGGTGGATGGGAATATGCATGGAAATGATATGCAGATGAGGTTATGCATAGTAAAACTAGGCGTTGTAAGCTCCATATATGGTGATTTTGGGGAGGAGACGCACGTACGCACAATCTTCCGCTGACAGGGATTTATAAAAGGATTTTTGCGCAGGTTCTGGCGTACGCATGGTTTTTTAAATCTGAAAACGTTTGTGCATACGCCAAATCTAGCTTTTGTGCGTACGTACACTTTTAGGATGAAATCTACAGAAAGTTTTATACATGAGGCCCCTGGCGTTTTAAAAAACGCGGCGCTCCCATTGAAAACAATTGAAAAAAAATAAGCTAGCCTCGGGAAAAAAATGCTTTGGTGGACACAGGGCCTAACTTAGTGACTTATGTGTTAACAACTGAATTTTTTATTTATTATTTTTTATTGTATATATATATATTTTTTTTCTTTATCTCAAGCATCTCACTACTGCACACATTATCAGTAGATGTGTTTATACTTGAGCTTAAGTATTTTGTGTGGTTAAATTTTATCTATATTTCTCCAAGGTGTTATTGCTAGATCTAGCATGTATTTATACCAGGGTGAATTACAAACCATGTACCTTTTTCACATTTCCTGGGTTCTCAGAAACTTAAGTCGTCACTGCAGGGTAAACTTCTATAGTGGTGAATAGGAAACTACAGAAAATATGAGAAATATGAGAAAAAATATATTTCCAATGTAACCATACATGCCATCTGTATGAATAAAATGTTACACTGAGAATGAATAATGTCAAGACACCAAAATAAGCATATGGTGGGTTCTTTAAGAACACTATAGTCAAAAACATTGGGTCCCATTTACTAAGTATGAAAACACAAATTTGTATGTGAAATCTGTGTACAAATGTTTTCAAACGTTTTACGAATTATTAAATTATGATTCACCAAGAAATTTCATACTAAATTTTATTGTAAATATATTAAAACAAAATGATGTAGACAAAAATGACTCCTAAGCGATTGAGGTGTCCTGTTATTGGATTTAATAATGAACATAGCATTCGTCATTTACTCCCGACATCAGTGGATTACATTGTTTCTGAAGGGAATGCGCCCCCGATCTACATAAATGCGTCTATGTTCGCGCGAATCATTCATGATCCAGCCTAATCTACAGAAGAAGTGAGTATAATGTTTTGTAATGAATCTTTGCAAATCGCCTTTCCTAATAATGTGCTAATTGAAATTTTAACCAAACTATGTTACAGGCTTTTCATTAAGACCCTAAAGAATCATATCAACTTGTGGAAAATGGGCATCCTATGACCCCTTTAAAATAAGTGTCAGTAAAATCACCAACAACCTCCAGAAAGCTGGGGTGATGGTCTGACAATCTACTGTCTGCAGAAGACTTCGACAGCAGAAGTTACACAGCAAGATGCAAACCTCTGATCAGCACCAAAAATAGAAGGGCCAGATTAGAGTTAGAAAGCACAAAGATAATGTAATAGAGTTTTGGAACAGAGTTTTATGGAAAGATGAGACCTTTATCAAAGTGATGGGAAAGCAAAAATGTGGAGGGAAAAAGGTACCGCAAATGATCCAAAGCATAAAACCTTATCTGTAAAGCATGGTGGAGGTGGTTTCATGGCATGGGCATGCATGGCTGCCTCTGGAACAGGCTCTCTCATGTTCATTGATGACTTAACAAATGATGGTGGCAGCAGAATGAATGCAGAAGTGTACAAAAGCATCTTTGCTACTAATGTTGAAGAAAATGCCACCAGACTCGTCGGAAAGTGCTTCATATTGCAACAGGACAATGACCCAAAACACACTGCCAGTTCAGTCAAGGAGTTTATCAGGGCAAAGAAATGGAAGTTCTTAGATGTCAATCTCCAAATTTAAATCCAATTAAAGATGCATTTCACCAGCTGAAGATGAGACTAAAGGTAGAAACTCCCCAAAACAAGCAACAGCTGAAAATGTCTGCATTAAAGGCTTGGCAAAGCAAGAGTCTGGTGATGTCTATGGGTCAAAGACTCACTGCTGTGATTGCATGCAAGGGATTTGCAATGAAATACTAGCTTTTAAACTTGTACATTTGTTTTAAGTTAAACTGTCCCAGGACTTATGCTCACATCAGATTGGGGGATGAAACTCCAAAAGTGCTGTTCTTCTTAGTTGTAAAACATGCATGTAATGAAACAGGCAATAATAAAATGTGACATTCTGCACTTTTGCCTCATAGTCATCTTTTATTCATATTTACAGATGTCTTTACTCCACAGCAATTTTGTCTTTACTGTCCCAATACTTATGGAGGGCACTGCTATGTTATAAAAAATGTTGGCGCTCTAGCGGTTAATAAACAAAACTGCATTTGTCTTGCAGAAGAACATTCTAGCCGAAAATGCTTCTCTCTGTTTATGGAAATGACGAGTCACGCAGGTCCTGGGCTACTCAGCAGTGGTTGTCGTCCCTTCTCTCATGACTCGCACGCGGGAGGCATCCATTAGGGGAAGCACAATAGCAAAAAGCTCCACACAGACATTAAATATTTCATAACACTGTCAATACACACTCGCACTCATACACATGGATTTGTGCATACTGAGGTCCTCTACCTATTCCAGAAAGCCAATTCCATCTGTTTGCTGTTACAGTTTAAATTATTTATTTCCATCAGGTATATATCTGGTTTCTGTTTATTAGGCTTTTAAATTTGTACTTCCTTGTTTTGCATGTGTTAATTTCCTGTTTCCATTGTTGCCTATTTTCCCGCTTTTCATTTATCTCCATGGTTTCCGATTAGGTTCACCTGCCCCTCCTCATTATCCTGTGTATATTTAAGCCCTGAGTCAGACTGGAACACAAATCCTCTTGAATCAGCACCTGGGTCTGGTGTTGTTTGTACAGTATATTTGATGTCTGATTATGCTTTACACCAACTATTCTATTCTATGGATCTTTTTCATACTTGCGCATAGTTTGCCATTGTTAACGTCAGTTGCAAGTTCTAAGGTGTTTATTAATTTACTGCATGGCTATGAAGTATATTTTGTTTTGCAATTTCTCCAAAATTAACAGAACTTCAAAAAGTCATACATTGTACCCTAGCACAAGAGAAAGAAAAATGATTGGATAACCAAATTTGCTTAATTAAATCATGCAAAATGCAGTTTCCTGGCCAATAAGGAATATTTACGTAAGGGACATTTCCTGAATTTTCCTACCTGAATTCAAAGTTTTCAGTAAAAGGTTGAGAACACATGAGAGTATGTACGTGAAACTCTTTTACTTCAAAAGAGCAAGAAAAATCCAGTTTTCCATGATATGACCCCTTTAATTGTCATTTTGATGGTCAAAATATATACACAGGTCAAAATATATCAGTTTTTTTTTATTATTGTTCTTAGAATAACTGATAGATGGTAAGTGTATTCTGAGAACAGTGCCTTATTTAAGACATTCTCAGCTATTCATGAAGTCCCACCTGTTTAAAAAGTCAGGGACCAGCACTTAAAACCCAGTGTCAAGCCCTCGAAAGTATGTATCACACCTCTCTCACTACACACACCCTCCTCACACACATTTCTCTCTTCTCAGAAAATAACCATGATCTATTTCAACTGTAGGAACACTCACCCTTACAGCAGAAAAATAAAATGGATAGGGAAGGTATTGGGTGGTACAAGGGTAGAGAAAGACTGCTGCTGACAGCTGTGGGTTTTACCTGGCAGGAAGTCGAGCGGGTTGTCTTCTCTCATGACTCGCACCCTCAGGCATGCATTAGTGGAAGCACAATGGCAAAAAGCTCCACACAGAGATTAAATATTTCATAACACTGTCAATACACACTCGCACTCATACACATGGATTTGCACATACTGAGGTCCTCTACCTATTCCAGAAAGCCAATTCCATCTGTTTGTTGTTGCAGTTGAAATTATTTATTTATTTATTTTCATCAGGGGCCTGTACCATGAAGCCAGATTAGCTAGCTAGCCAGGTAAGTTTCAGTTTAGTTTGCACCAATCCTGGGTTTTAGGTACCATGAAAGTGGCTTGGCTTTTAGTGGCGTTCATTGCCATAGTAACTTACACTGCACAGCTAACCTGCTCCAGGGCGTACTCCACAAACTCAGGATCAAGGCCTGAGTTGACAAAGAAAATTGATGATCAGCATCATGGTACCAATAAAGTCGGATTGGAGTGGTCTGGTTTTGTCAACTCGAAACTAATCCTGTAACTAATCCTGAATTTGTTCATCTACCATCATGATACAGCCCCTTGGTTACATATGTCAGGTTTCTGTTAATTGGACTTAAGTTCCAAGTACTTCCTTGTTTTGCATGTGTTATGCTGCGTTCAAGTCCTCCTGGGACGTTCGTACTTACGAGTTGACAAGTCGTAATTACGACGTCAGGTGCGTTCAAGTCAGTTTAGTCGGCACAAGATGGCGGTGTACCTTCTTTTAATAAATTACAAGAAAATAC